TGGCTTGGCGCTGGCAAGGAGCCCCTCTAGCGTGACTTGATCGGACCCTGACTCCTAAGCTCCGACGTAGTAGGGTGGGACGGCAACACGGCTAGCCAGACGGGCCAGTCGTAGGGGTGGACAGTAAAAGTCGGTGAAGGGGTTGAGCTCTTTCGAAAGTGAGGGGGAGAGAAGCGGGCACCAGCCAGAGAGGAGACAGAGGAGGCAAGTGGAGGATCTTGTCAGGTCTTGCTCGGTTGTTAACAAAAGAGCGCGTGCTGTTGGAGTCGACCAAGCCACTGCCGAGTTGTTATTAAATGAGGCTTTTTGTCAGAAATGTTTCAGGATGAGGACGCTGCAGGAGATGGCTCATAGTTGAGATCGCCAAAGAGCTTGCGGCTCTACTGGGCCGGAGCAGGGTTCTAACCTAGACCTGCAATGTCATGTCGTGAGTATATCATGTGTGTTATAGCTACCAAGCAGCTCTGGTAGTGCCATTCGCAACAACGTCTGGGATCAGGGCAGGCCGATGGCCGCCGGCAGTGGCAAAACTAGCTCAACCACACCCCATGTGCAACTGATGCCTCCAGCCTGGGCTGCGGCGGGATTGATAACGGGGTGGTGGATATCGCACCGATTAGGCCGAGGGACGACCAGGCTCTGTAGCCCAAGACCAACCGATCGCGCGGAGGCACAGCAATCCTCGTCTCGCAAGAATTGGAGAGAGGATGCAAGTCAATTGGTTGGAATGTCGGCGATAATCGCGAGGCGCTACTGCGCGAGATGTAAGGGAAGAACGAAGCCAACACGGGCCAAGGCAGTGATCGTTCAATGACCTGTCTCTTGTCTACTTCGATTTAGCAGGAGATGCGAAAGCGCCAAAGATCCATGGGTCCGTCAGATTTGGATCCCATGCCCAGCCACCATTGTGTTTGCGCTTTCAACAAGATACAGTAGTTGAAGAGGCAAGTGAGTTTAGCCCAGAAGGCGCCGCGCGGAGGAATTGCCAGGAGCGGTGAACGAATTAGGTGATAGATCATCATGTGTCAATTGTTTGTGGCGGATGGCTGGCTGTCAGACGGACAGCTATTCTTGAATACGGACGAAGTGGCAATCCAGACAGACAATGATGCTTGTCAGGCGGCTAATAGACCAACGGCTTCAGAGGCAGAGGTAGCAAAGTCACAGTCACAGCTGTATGTGAGTGAGCTCCCGTGTTGGCGTTCCTGGTTGATACATCGAATGGAAATCTGGGGACTTGTTAGCTTAGCTTCTGCAGTCCAATATGGATTTTGAGTGACGTGCAGGAGGAACAGCCAAGTAGACACGCCGACCAATGAGCGAGGGTAACTGGGAAGACGGGGATGCGCTCGGTCCAAGTCTTCAGAGTTGTGCGTGTGCTTGTCTCTGGACTTGCCAGGGGGGCACGATATTGATCGCTTGACATGTACTCCGAGGGGCTCGGACAGGTTGATGCGATTGGGGCAGGATTATCGTCGGCTGGCGCGCAGATACTGTTATCCTTACCTGCTCAAGATCTCGCCATCTCCCTGGCCTAAGGAGGCGGAACGGGTCTTTCGGGCTATGCGCGGAGGAACCATTGCATTGCGTCCAAGGCAGGCAGGCAGGGCCAGTGTTGCCGATCCAGACCATGCACCATCCCGGCGCCTAGGCCCGTCCTGTCGCGATCTGGGGGGCACTCGAGGGTGAGGAGACAGCGTGCGTGCTGGGGGTGGGCTTCAGCTAAAGACCGAGCCGAGATGGCTGACAAAGCTGCGCGATCTTGCTGCGATAATACTTGGGAAGGAAGGTAGCTGAGAGGGCTGGACTTTCCTCTTGCAGGAGAAGGTGATACACGACATGGATGGGAAGGTCACACAAGACATCCATTGTTGTGTCTTACAACGGCCAACCATTCAATTTGGAGCATCAACCTCCATACCAAGAAGTATGGATGCCGAGGCCTGCAAATATTGGTTGTCCAGTAAAAGTTCATAGCCTTGCGACTCTAACAAGCAGGAACGAAAACTCCGGTTGTTTCAGCAAAAACCCTCGTCTGCGGTCATTCTTCGACCATGGACCTTTCTCCCTCCAATCGATACAACCCCGGACAGGTGACATCCATCGAAAGCCACGCAGCGACGGTTCTTCAGGCGCCCGCCCTCGGTGACAAGACTACTGTGCCGCTGCCAGGGACCGTGACAGGCCCAATGTAGGAATCCCTGCAACCCTCCACGCTGTTGTCGGCCTGCACTCCGACGCACGGTGCGATGCGATCCAGCTGCCTGTCTCTCGTCATAGCTTCTGTCGAGTGAGCATCAGGCTGGAGAGGGTGGCTTCCGACGTGTCTACAATCTTTGCTGGTGGTCCTCAGCCCAACACCGATATCTGCGGAAGGGGAGTTATCCATGTCTGGATGCCCATGCAGACTGCTGTCCGGACCCAGCATTTCACAAGAACGGGCCGCTTGCTAGCTGATGTGAATGTCTCAACAGCATGCGGCGGGCCCCTCAGCATGTCGGGTTCGTACCACTCTCTGCTTAGCCCACAACCCACGTCGAGGGTATTGAACGGGATCGGGCTTGTGGGAGTTGGCAGCAGTTGAGGTTGGCGGTAAAGTGATCTGCCTTTTAGACCTGAAAGATTCCGAGGAGTAGCAGCAAGGATCCGACCCATACTGCAGAGCCTCCTAGTTTTGCGCCCAAGGGAGCCCTCATGCTTCTGGAAAAAGCCTTGAGGATCCATGGATCCATCATGGTTGAGAGTTCTGGTGGCCGTTGCCTCAGAGTGGGCATCATGTCTCCTCCCTTCCCATGGAGCATTTTTGCTTTTTCCGGTGCCTGAGTGCTGGTCCCACTAGTGGGCTTGTTAGTGGCCTTTTTGGGCGTCGATGACCACGGATGCGGCGCCTTTGGGCACTCTAGTCACTTGTGTCTTGTCTTGTCTCGTCTTGCGTGTGTTTGCCTGCAATAAAGGACGACTGTACGACGCTGGACCCCACAAGCGCTATTATCAGTTGAGGGCAAGTAAAGACGAAGAAAGAGGCACTCAGCCTTTGTGAAAAACTAAACGACGCTCTAATTGTGTCGGTGGTATTTGATGGTTTATTGAGGTACTACCTACGTCGTGTAGGTACCTACTGCGTATGAGAGAGAGTATTGTCCACCTAGCGGAACAGCGTGTGCTGTAGCGTCTGATAGACCTCATGCACAGGGCCGTAAAGGAACCTGGAACCGACCGACCTGAGGTTCGCTGCACAGAAAAGAAACTTTGGCTTCCCCAAGCAACCCTTGCCCTGACCTACCTGGCCTCCACTAGGACCAGGCTGCCGACCTGATCCCATATCCCACTTTCTTCCCCTGGGTCTTTGTATCCTGTTCCTGGGGCGCATCACATTGGATTTCTCTTCTCCATGCCATGCTATGCCATGTCCTGGGCCTGTGTCTGAACCCTGCGTCTTTGGTCCCCCGCCAAGGACTTGCCTCAACTGCCTGCTAGTACATAGCACCCTGGGCTGGTGCCCACAAACACGCGCAACTCCCCACGCTGACGCCGACGCCAAACATCCGCCCGCGTTTCCCATCCCATCCCATCCTTTTTCCTCTGGCCTCGGCCAAGTTTTTCTTCTCTTTTACTCCTCCTGCCCCATCGATATCTGTCCCCCTTCTCGCCCTTCCTCCCAACCAGCTTGTCGCTCCTGGCTCTCCAGGGCGCGCTGTGAGAGAGTAAGCGTGTAGACGAGTGTACCGAGCACCTAGGAAAAGCCCGAGTGGCCTTGTACGATTGTGTACAATTTCGTGTCTGCGTCATCAGCTGCTCGACCTTTACGCCCACTCACAGCCAGATTTACTTGAGGTTGGTTCATCTTTTTTGTCCAGCTTGCCTCTTGGTCGGGGAACTGCTTAACCCGATCTCCATCCCCTTCCACTCCCCTTCCTCAAGACGAAAGAAGGTCTGCACTGGCTCTGGTATATGGAATAGTGTCGTTGTGCTGCCACTCTGTCTCTGTCTTACAACTCCTTGTCGTTGTCAGTCTTGCTTCCCATCACAAGGGTGAGGAAGGAAGGGAGGGCGGCACTTGTTGCTTTCCGACACGGACGCCTTCAACTGCGCACATCCCACCCACCGCCGCCGCCGACGATGCACACGCGGGTAGACGACAACACGCATCCATCCATGCCTGCAACACACACGCACGCACACACAAGCATCCACACCCATGCTAGCTAGCTCCGATGAGACAGCGAGACAACCGACGGACTTGCGCTGGCAAGCCCTACCTGACACTAGAAGACGATTTGCTTGAAAGACGACGAACAGAGACCGAGACGGAGTGAATAGCCATGACCTTTTCCAGCTTGAGACCAAAAGCTTCTGCCATCCATCGACCTGAACACTAATACCCCCTAAATACCACCTGACCTGGCCTCCGAGTTACCTGTTTACCTTATGCTTTGCATGTTCCCCAACCAAGGCTTCAGATCCCGAATCCTTTATTCCCTACCTCCCCTCCCGTACCTTGCGTGCGAAGTCGTCGTCCCCCGTCAAGAGTGGCCCGTGTGGCCCCAAGCCCCATTCATTGCTCATAAGCCATCCCTCCATTCATAACCCGTCGTCCATTGTCATTGTCCATCCAGCTCAAGGATGGACATGTACCGACCGACACAGGACAGGTACCCGCCAACCTACCCATGACACCCTGCTTTGAGTCCGCGGCTGGCCTATTACCCAGTGACTTTAGCCCGGGCGTCCCTCCTAAGCCCAGAAGCCCATGGCCCCCCCTACCTACCTGAAGTAGCCCGGCTCCAAGTCCCCCCCAGGCCCAGTGCCATACCCACACTGACCGCGTTCACCCCGCCTCTCAACAACGTCCCATCGCCTTCGCTTTTTCCTCTACCTACCTTACCTCTCCCTCTAAGCGCATTTGCTGATACTCTTTTGCTTCTTCTCATGTCTGCAGTATTATAGACCGAGACCGCTTGCCAATTCGGCGTGTACCACCTTGTTTCTATTAGCCCGCCATGGACGACCTGCGATTCCGCTCCCAACAGTCCCCTAGGAGCAACGACTCGCCAATGAACTCGCTTGTCTCACCTCCTCGTAATACCTCGAGAATGCCCGGCCCTCAAGTCCCAACCCACGTTGGCGCTCACGATCATCGAAACAACCTTTCTCGTCGCTTCACTACCGACTCGGGTCGAGTCCCTACACTCTCTTCCTTGAACGCCATGGCTTCTCCCCAGCGAGGCCCCGATCCGGGCCAGGATTACAACGTGAGTGATGCTTGCTCGACTCTGTTGCCCGTAAGGTGCTCTGGGATACTCCCCGGAGCCCGAATCGCGCGGCTGCGTCGTTGCCCTCTCGGCTGGAAGAAGCGCAAATGCTGACATGTCTTGTGGTAGACTATGCACAAGGTGCAATTGGTATGTTTTCATACGCCGTACTCCGACCCAGTTTGCCTTCCAAATCCAGTCGATTCCTGAACCTTGAGTCCTTGCTTTCAACCACACGAGACCGTCGACATCAATCAGCTCAGAGACCGGGATCATTTAACTAATATCAGACTCAGATAGAGAAAAAGAAGATGGAATATGAGCGCATTCGGGAACAGAGACGGCGCTTCGAGTTAGAAATGCAAAAACTGGACCAACAGCAACGGCGCGAAGCCATCGAACTTGCTCAGATGGAAGAAGAGATGGGTCGATTGGGCGGTCATCAGTCTGAGCCCACCACACCACCCGAATATCGCGACAACTCTGGGTTTCCCTCCATTTTCTCCCGACCGAGCCGATATTCGATGTCCAGCTTGACCTCCCCTCCAGGTCTCTTTAACCGCCCTGGCCGCTCCGGCTCGCAACTTGCCTCTCCACAGTCTGGTATCATGCAGGGTCGTTTTGGATTCGAGGACACCACGACGCAGATGCCTTCTCGCTCTGTGCCGACTACGCGGCGGAACAGCGACGATGAGAAGGAAGAGGCAGTTCGCCAAGACCCTAGTAGCCACCGGTCAACCAATGCGTAAGTGATATGTTTTCGTGTATGGCGATTTAGCGCCTCGGATTTTGGGTCTGCCTCAAGCGAGGAGTTGCTCTCAAAGTTGCCATGGGCTAGAATGCCTGTGAGGGAGACTTACTTTGTGCTCCCAAAGCGCATATATCTCGTGAGAGGTGATTCGGGTGGAGAGCGGACTTCCTTTGGCCTTGGGATTTCCGCTATCCGTTGCGTTGATAACTTGGTCTTGGGTTAAAAGCACGCGACTGTATGCATCGTCTCCCAGCGGAAGCCCTTGCGAGTCGAAGCGCTAAGCCGTCCGTGAATCACTCTCAACCGCAATATTCGAGGATATAAGAACTCGATCAGTGCGAGTCTGCTCCTAACTTTCTCCTCTCAACTTCCCCCTTCACCCTTAACCTTCAACCAAACGTCATCTCGCATAGGTGCCAGCACCTCCCCTCAACACTTCTCTACCTTCTTTCTTCAGGCATCTCGTTGAGATATAACCTCGCCTTCTTGGGAAAGATTCGACTGCTGTTTTGCGGCATTCTCCAACGTTTCCATCCCATCTTTTGCTGAAAGATTGCGCGGTTTCCTCGATTTGGCCCAACAAACTGACCATGTCTTCGCCGGATAGGATCAACCGCTATTCTATGCCGGTGACTCGCTCGCGTACCGGGTTGTACGACGTTGGTCTCGATCAAACCAACACGACTCGGTTCCTTTTTGGCGACGATGAGCCAAAGGCGCTTGGACACGGTGCTGTTCCTGACGAGAACTTCCCGACTCTTGTTCGTCGCGACGATCAGATTGTAAGATTGCCCATTTTCTTTTTCTCAGGCCTCTGCCTTTTCTTGGAGCACAGATCGGATGTGGTGGCTGTCTGGTGAGAGTCTTGATCTGGGGGCGTTTGCAACTCCATGCTCCAGCTCCGAGACTCACATACGGGCTCCACATTTTTCTGCCAGTGCTGCTTCACCAGTGCCTCTGCTTCTCTTGCTATTGTCTTCAATTCACCCTCATGCATTTTCCCTTTCTCACCTGCATATGCACAAAGCCCTGTGCCCCTCTCCTATTGTTCCCCTTCTTCCCTTATTCATTCCCGAGATTTTGAGCGCCCTGATTGTTCATCAGGCGCAGCTTTTTGCGGAAGTACCAAAGCTACCACCGAGTGCTCTCTACCTCACTCTCTACCATCGTTTGCCTTCACTTCTGACGTACTCCGTTTCGCCTAGCTCTCTGCATCTTCGGCCGCCTTAGATCTTGCCCTGTCCCCGTCTCCAAACCCTGAGACATCCCTATCCTCCAGAGGCTGGAGCCGTGTTGTTAACCGTCACCGACCTCAGCAGAGCTTGTCGTCTATCAACGGAGGTTCAGGTCAAGTCAACGACCTCGCAGGCCTTAAGAGTCGACCTGCTGCGTTCCGCCACTCCCTCGACCTCAAGTACATCTCAGAGAACGCAGTCGAGACTGGTCCAATCATGTCTTCGCCTGCGAATCAGAACATGGCCAGCCCGCCTAAGCTTCAGAGCTCGTTCTCTGCCAACGACGTCCCCACTGTTAAGAGCACTGCGACATCGTCCATGATCAACGCCAACGCCAACGTCAATGCCAACAACCATGCTCAGCAGCACTTCCACAACCACAATGCCAGTCTCGGCCGCATCCCTGCTGGCGTCCTCCCTCGTGGCCACAACCGTGAGCTGTCGGCTGAAAGCGTCGCCGTGAGTCGCGAGCAGGCCACCACCTATCCCTCGATCCAGTCAGCTCTCCAGGCCAGTGCTGCTCCTTTTGGTCCTAGCACTACCACCGCCGCTCCTCCCACCTCAATGGTCTCCTCCCCTGCTGGTACGCCTGCCGCGAACAACAACTTCAACAACGGCAACGGCAACGGCAACGGATTCTACCCTGTCAATGGCTTTGGGGCTCAGCAGGGTGTCGCCCATCCTCCCGGACCCGGCGCCTACAACGTCAACATGATCGCCAACGGTATGCAGCACATGAACATGAACGGCGTCAATGGCGGCAACGTGTATCCTCCTCAGAACTTCAATGGCTACAACTCGCTTCCCTACAACCAGGGCAACCAGCCTCGTGACAGCCAGGCTCGTGTGATTCAGCACCGCCGCCAGCTTGACAACGAAGGTGAGTTTTTCTAGTACAGTATCTCAAGACACAAGCTAACCTCTCACTACAGCCATGTCCCGCTACCAGAACATGCCTCTGGACTCCTTTACTGGCCAGATATATGACTTGTGCAAGGACCAGCATGGTTGCCGCTACCTTCAGAAGAAACTGGAAGAGCGCAACGCTGAACAGGTTCATATGATTTGGCTCGAGACCAACCAGCACGTCATCGAGCTCATGACGGACCCATTTGGTAATTATTTGTGCCAAAAGCTCCTTGAGTTTTGCAATGACGACGAGAGGACCGTCTTGATCCAGAATGCTTCTCAGGACATGGTGCGCATTGCCCTCAACCAGCACGGCACGCGCGCACTTCAAAAGATGATTGAGTACGTGAGCACCCCTCAGCAGGTTCACCTCATCATCGAGGCACTTCGTTTCCGGGTTGTCGAGCTCATCCAGGACCTGAACGGCAACCACGTCATCCAGAAGTGTCTCAACAAGCTCACCGCCCCTGATGCCCAGTTCATCTTTGACGCAGTCGGTCATAACTGTATTGAGGTGGGCACTCACCGACATGGCTGCTGCGTCTTGCAGCGCTGCATCGACCACGCATCCGGCGATCAGAAGCTGTGGCTTATCCAACGCATCACCGAGCACGCCCGGGTTCTTGTGCAGGATCCCTTTGGCAACTATGTCGTCCAGTACATCATCGACCTGAACGAGCCTACTTTCACTGAGCCCATCGTGGGTATGTTCCAGGGATGCATCAGCCAGCTGTCCCGCCACAAGTTCAGCTCCAACGTGATTGAGAAGTGCCTTCGGTGCGCTCAGGCCCCTTCCAAGGATATGATTGTTGAGGAGCTCCTGGGCCCCCAGGAGATGGAACGCCTGCTTCGCGACTCGTTTGCCAACTATGTCATCCAGACCGCCTTGGAGTATGCCACCCCTCATCAGAAGTACCAGCTTGTTGAGTCGATCCGTCCTATTCTGCCTCAGATCAGGACCACTCCCTACGGTCGTCGCATTCAAGCTAAGATCTCTGCCTTCGACAACCGCGGCAGCGCTGCTTCTAGCGGACAGGTCACTCCGGCCGACAACACCCAGGGCCAGATCCCTCTCCGCCCTTCACACACTCGCGGCATGCCCTCTACTGGCCCTATGATGCAGCCCAACACTGTTCCCAACGGCCCTATGCCTGGCATGGGGAACCATGGTATACGCCAGAACATGCCCGGCTACCCACCTAACCCCACTATGAACGGCCAGGTGCCGGCTGCTGGAGCCCATATCCAGCAGCCTCACTACGGACAGAGAGCCCCTGGCAACTTTGCCCAGACGGCCAACGGGACTGTTAACAGCGCCGTCAATGTCGGTGCTAACATCAACGGCAACGGTAACATGGGCGCTCCCGTCAAGGCTACTGACAACACGAGCAGCGGCGCCAGCCCTGCTAACGCCAAGGTAGCCGGCGGTAACAACGCCAACGAGGCCGAGGAGCCTCAGTGGCTGTAAACCCGACTTGTGCTCCCCCACAAGTCTGCCACTGATGGATCAGGGGACGGCCCGATTGTACAATGATGCTCATTATGGTTTTCGTCGGATGTCGAGCGGGCGGCGTGTTGTGCAGATGCATGCAGATGCAGATGCACACACAGCTACCTGTGGCACCGTCATGATTTGACGATTTTCTTTTGATCTCTGTTTCACTACGCCTCAAAACCACAGCCAAAAGGGCGCAGGCCCATTTCGATCTCTTCGAAGCGGTTGACACGACAGCGACAGAGTTGCTCGTGTGTACATTACCAGAAGGGGCGCTACGAACTACAGCCAGATGTCTTGCAGCAACGGCACCTTGTCTTCTGCTAGAGGAGGGAATAGCAGCTTGCACAGGAGCGTCAGCAGCATCACAACCGGCGTGTACATGTATTTGGATCGTAAGATCCTAACCAACCAAACCTCGGCATAGACGACTCGGTTCTTTTCAGCTTTTTGTTTTCACTACCTTAGGTCTTTGCAATTTCGACTCCAGGGCGACACATGTTTTTGAACGAGGAATTTCGATGCGCATCATCACTTGCGATATGGGACTTGAAATCAGCATCACTCATGATTTACGTCAAGCTTTCGACATGATCGTTTACGATATACGCGTACGGTTTTGACAAGACACTGAGTGTTCTTCTCTTTCCTTTCGACACAGGACTGCTTCTACAGCCTGGATGGACCTAGATGGTCACATTCTGATTAGGCGAGAACTTTTTGATGCCGAGATTATCCTGGCTGCTTTCTGGTCCATTCTACTCAGGCTATCCATACAACTGGTGTGCCGGGTCATGGTAAAGGTCAAGCAGTATCTGCGGTATTCTCGTTTTTTTTTTTACTCTTTTCGTTTGGGTTGTATGACTTCAGGGACAATTTACGGTTGCTTTTCATTCGGGGTTGAGGATATGCCGGCTTGCTGGCCAGACAGAGGACGGAGAAGTTGCCCCCCGCCTGTATTTAGACAAGGTCTTTGAATCCAGGGTTCGCTTTTACTTTTGTATTATGATGGTGATGCTAGTGATGTCTGTGGAGTGATCTTCACTGTTCGAGCAACTAAAGTCAGAGTGAGAAGGGCAGGTTAGGTCAACGTGGTCGTCAGGGGACGCTACAGAGAGGGAACCGTCTCACCTACCTCGGAAGCTCTTGGATCGACTTTGAATTAGAGGGCAACGCAATAACACCCACCAGAGATGGAGTGGTTGTTTATCAAAGCTCAGTTGAATCTTTCCCGCTTCTAGAACTTACTCTTGATGAGTTTTTCATTGTTCATCTTGGTGACGTCTTTAAGAGGCCATCAGCCAGAATTACAAACATGACAGTCATCAACAACACTTAATGGCATGAGGACTAAATCCAAACACCGTAACACGTCTCCCTGAGGAGAGTTAGCATATAGAGAATGCAATTGGTCAGCTTGCCCAGCATCCTTGCTTGAACACATGTACTAGACCGCTACTGCCTTGTCACAGAATAGACAAGCCATTGGGTGTGGAAAGCCTTGAAAGACTTTTACGTGGAGTAACATGGCCCACACTTTTCTGCATAGGTACTGTCACCGAAAAATCTATCAGATGGATGAGCCCAGCTAGCCTGCCGCATGGGACGCCAGAGGAGGTTGTGGAAGGACTTCAAGACGACTCAAGTTGACCGTCTCCGTTCTTCTATTCATGTGGCATCTTCTTATACAGCATCACGGCACATCACATTGTATCAAGCAGACGAGGAAATCCAGCCGGAAACCCATATTTTTCATCGTATCGGAATTACTTTGATTCCATTTTTTGCTACCAAACAAGGTTCCCGACTCCCCAGAGTCCAAGCGTGCAATGCCAAAACCAGACCCAGCACTTGGAAGAAAACGTGTAGTGTGCGCCCTCCGAATCGCATGTACCACCACCCAGCAGTGAGAAAAAGGCCGGGCGTTTATCGGTATCGCCACAGGGACAGGGTGTTGTGGCGCTTCCAGGTCTTTCTGCGGCCGGCCTGGGTCTTGTTGTAGCGGTGGCCCTTGTTGAGACCGCGCGACTTCTTGCCGGTAGCAGTGAGGCCGCGGGACTCGCGGTGCTTGTGCACGGGGTTGACGATCCAGTTGATGCGGGGGTCGATGCGGATGGCCTTGTGCTGGGGGTCGACGAGGATGACCTCGTAGTACTTGTAGGTGGAGTCCTGGTTGATCCAGTACGAGTTGAGGACTCGGAGGTTGGCGCAGCGGCGGCCGACACGCTCCTCAGCGGTGGCCTTGAGGGATCGCTGATACTTCAGCTGGTTGATACCCTGGTTGGTGGGCTTGCCTGTTGTTCATGTGTCAGAAGAGTCTCATCCCGTCAAGAAGCAAATGACTGACCATAGGTGGCACCCTTGGGGGCAGGGCGCTTGCGGCCACCACGGCGGACACGGACGCGGTAGATAACATAGCCCTGCTTGGCCTTGTATCCGAGACGGCGAGCCTTGTCCAGACGGGTAGGGCGAGAGGCGCGGTGGATGACGTTCAATTGACGGAGCTATATTGATGCACTCTCAGCAAACGTTCAACGAGTGTATAGCAGAGACGGGGTGAAGAAACACCCCGCTCCCGTCCCAGGCCTCCTTCAGCGTAGATGTATGCGTCTCGATCTTGATGTGCGTGTTGTCCCATCATTGTCGGTGAAGAATTTCTTCTCCTCCCGTTGTTGAGAGAAAACGCACAAAAATTTCGACACCATCGGATACGCGAGGAGGACGAGGGAAAAAAACGAGAGCGGGCGCCGCCGTCCACAAGAGAGTTGGTGATTTCGTTTCAACGTACCTCCCAACAGCGAACTCGGAGGAGGAAGGCGATGACATCCGACTGCTTCTTCTTCTGAAGCTCTTCGACGTACTTGAGGGCACCCATCTTGGCTGTTGTCGGCAACGCAGAGAGCACACGTTAGCAATGGAACAGATTGAAAGGCAGAAGCTTCCAGCGATAGAGGAAAGAACAAATGCTTTGATGCTGGAGAGAGGGGATCACAAACCGGCTTGTGTCGAACGATTCCTGCCGTGTGGTTAGTAGAGGCGAGTGTGTCGAAATTTCGAATGTCACAAAGTTCGAGAGGAAGATAAAAATTGAGGGCACAGTTTGTGGGTTAAGCGACGCGCTAGCCCTGACACAGACTAGCGCAATAGGACTTGCCCCTCAGCCCCGGCACCGTGTGTAGCTGAGTCAGCGAGGTGAGGATGTCCCCTCACCGAGAATTGCCTTTGCTCACCGACCTCATTGTCTAACACCGGATAATTTCACCGCCGCTCATGAATTGGTACCCGCCCAGATTTGACTAAACTCCTCTCAATGAACCAAGATATACACCAGGCCGATCATGTCAACCTATTGCGTGGTGGGGAGAAACTTCAGGACGCCTGTGAATGCCTTCAGCTGCTCTTGCGCCGTCTTTCCCCATGTCTCCTCCGGTCTCTTTGGGATAGCATCCTCAATGAGCTCCCATGCCAGCTTCTCAATGTCGCTGGCGTTCTCTGCGGGTTTGGCTGGCAGTGCGTGTAGATCAGGCATGATGACATGATTGACGATTTTGGACGCCATGTTCACCCCCTTCTGGCCCAAGTTGTTCAAGTCCTTTGCGTCCTGCTCCCAGTGCATCCAGGTTGGCGCCTTGATGCCGGTGTCTTTCTTGACCAACTTCTCGTAGCCCTCGACCGTGTTCTGAAGCTCATTGAGCGTGTTGAGCATGAGCTCTGGAAGGCTTTGAACGCTCTCCTTCTGCAGCGCCGACGAAGGGTTCATCCAGGGCAGAACATGCCCGAGTTCTGAAGACAGCTCCTCCTTGGGAATGTTCTTTTCGACTTGCGGCCTACTCCACGTTGGTCTCTTGACATAGCGAAGAATGGGGTAGTACTCACGGACGCTTCTTCATTTCGTTGTTGATGAACTTGATGAGGTCGTTCCCTCGATTCTGAATCTGCTTCTTTGCATCGCCGACGAGAATCTTGCGTCTCTTGGAGGTGCCGACGCCGTCACCCAAGAGTTTCCTGTGAGCATGTTAGTCGCCGAAACCTGCGAGGAGGTGCGAATCAACCACTACAGACCCTTCGCCTGCTCCATTCGCCGCGTTCTTGCCCCTTCCTTGCCTTGCGGTTCCTGTAGCTTGCTTTCTCGGGGCCCGAGTCGTTTTCTTCGGAGCGACTTCCTCCGTCTGGTTGCTCTCTGCTCACGATTTAGCCAAGCCGACGTGTAGGAATTCGCCAAACTCACCGGTGGCAGAGGGCTTTCTCTTTCTGGTCTTTGGCGGCATGATGAAGCGAGCAAGGAGGAATCCAGAGCAGCGAGGTTTGCAAGAAAAGAATTGGAAGTGAATTGAGATTGGTAGAGGTCGTGTGTTTTAATGGCTTAAGTGCTTGTTAGGTGGTGGACTGAAAGATCGGAGGGGTGGTGTGGAAGGTACGCAGAGGGAAGGCATGACCTCGTTGCTCTTTCCCATTCTGCGAGATATGAGAGTCCAAACGGATTTGGCATCGCACTCTAGTCAACAACTCCCATCATTATCACCACTGCCTACGCCAACGCACAACCTACCTTGGACGATCACATGTATCCAATGTCAATGGTAACTGCAGAACCTTTGGGCCACTTTCACTTAAGCATGATCACTTCACTGTCACGGAACAAAAAGGCTCTGCACCAGGTAGATGGCATCATACAAGCAAGCACTGGGCTTCCACTTTAACCTCTATCACATAGCAGATCTCATTTTTCATGCATCTGAACCAAGAACCCCTAAAGAGACCCCCCAAACTGGATAATAGGACGAAGAAGCAAGCAAGTAGGTAAAGGAAATCTTTGTCATACATGGTCCCCAACTATATCCCAAACACGTCCCTTTTTGATCGCATATTAGTTACAGCCGTGAATGCGAAAGCCATGGATCTCTCTGTCTATAATCTCAACCTGTGAAGCAAAAAACCATTGCGTGCCTGTCATCTGTCTTTCCCCTCCCCCTACTCCCTGTCGTGAAAACGGCCGTTGGATCCTAGATCCTGAGTAGTAAAGTATCGGCATAAACGAAGTAAATCGACAGCATCACAACCCTCGCCTGGCAGCTTACCAATTAAGAGCATGTGAGTGCCTGCAAACGCCTCCCAAAAAGAGTAAAATGACAAAACGAAGGGGTTGGCCGAGTGTGTAGAAAACGCACAAGAAAGCCACACCAGTAGACCACTTGGGGTCAAGTCTTGAATCTCGAAAGGCATCTCTAGCCCCCACTTCTTGTGTATCGGTGGATGGCCCTGAATCTGCCCGAGGCGCAAGGGATTGAATCGAAAGGAATATGACAAGTCAGTCGTCTAGCGCCTTCAAGGTCCCACATCAATGAGTGTTGAGCGAGAGTCCCTGGAACGATCCCACCCAGTCATTCTGGGGAGCCAGAGGCGATGCTCCCTGCGAGTGCGGCGTAGGACTCGGCCCAGACTGCGGGTTAGGGAAGCGCTGTCGCATAGACTGAAAGTCTGCAGGATGCTGAACCTGACCTCCAGGGAAGCCCTCCATGGCCGGCACAGCTCCTGTTCCGTAAGGAACGTTGGCTCTGGGGTTGGGGTTGCCAAACGGACTAAACTGCCCGTATGGGTAGTTGGAAGGGGGATAGCCAGGAGTCTGAGCAAGGCGGCTTTCGTTGCCATAGGGCTGGCTGAATGTTGGCCGGAACCCACGGCTGTCTCTAGCCCCAGCTGTGAAGGCCGTGGCTTGGTGCGACTCCTGGTTCTGCTGGTTCTGCCGTCGATCACTGCCACCGGTGGCACGGTTAACTCCCACGGCACCAGGACCAATGCCGCTTGGGGCCTGGATACCGAGAGTTGGGCTGGCGAAAGAGGCTGGGTTAATAGCAGACATCCAGATTCGCGTTTTGTAGATCTTAAACAGGTCCGTAACGAGAGAGTTGAAGTTGATGTACGAGTCAGCAAAGTAGTAGAAGGTCAACTTCTTCCAATCCCTGTGATAATCATGTCAGTACATCGGCATCAGCAAGTTCATCACGCATACTCACATTTGAAATTCAGCATCCAGGATCTCCATGTTGAGTCCATGCTCCTTAACCTTCTGCATGCACACTCGCTTGGCCTTTGCTTCTTGCCCCTCCTTGTCCCGCAAGGCATGCACCTCATGGCTTTGGGCAAGGCGCTTGATGAGCTTGGGCCGGAGCTCGCCAGCATTTGGCTCTTGAGCATGATGCTGGCTTGGAGGTCCCATGCCCCCAACGGCGCTCCCCTGGAGACCGGTGGAAGAGGCGAGAAGACCAGCTCCAGCTCCCTCTTGCGCAGCAGCGGCACCCTGGGAGTACATCATGAGCCACTTGTACTGCTCCTCAGCGTAGTGTTCTTTGAGCTCCTTGGCTGTCTGCCAGTCGACGTTGTCCTTGGCCACGGTCCCAAGGTCAGTGCCACGATCAGCTTCAACTATGACTAGATCTCCAGGCTTGACAGTGAGTCCAGTGCCCTCTTGGATGTAGAAGACGTCGGCCCTGGCGCATTTGAACAAGACGATGTGGAGCAGCTGGTTGTGCCGGGGCTGAGCGATGCTATACACGTTGCGATGAGGAGATGGCGCGCGGTTCGCGTAGGGGTTGGGGAGGCCATAGGACGAGTACTGGCTTGGGAACCCGGTCTGGTACGCATTTCCCACGTTCGCAGCTCCGCCGAAGTACTGACCAGCTATTGTCGATGTTAGGGTGCGGTCCAAGATAAGGCTACGGGGTGTGCGCTCCCACTCACCGTGAGTAGCAGCTCCGAACGCAGAAGCGTCGGGGTAGCCGGGAGGATAGTCTTGAGATTGCTGCATTTCGGCTGCGGAAGGCTCAAGAACTGAGGTAGCGTCTGGGATAGAGCTGATAGATCCTTGACGAGTGGGCATGTTGGCGAAAGAGTGTCGTCTGCTCTGCGAAACGTCTGTGACAGGAAATCCGAGCGAGGTCGACCAGAGGGCCTTTTTGAGGTTGGTATTATCAACCTTCCGGCCATCCCCGCCAAACGGAGCGCGAATAGATGCCGGTCCATATTCGCTCATCCGGCGATTTAGAGCTCGTTTGGCCAACATCTCGCCTGCCTCGTTTGCTTCATCAAGCTCGTCAATGGCAAAATCGGATTCTTCTGGCACGGTCTCTCGCAATGAATAACCGTTTCCCATATAGCCAGATCCGGTCACAGCCCGAGGCCGAATGCGTGCATTGTATTGCGTTTGTTGTTGCCGAAGGATCGCGTTTTCTCGCGCGAGCATCTCGATGGTTTTGGCGTCAGAGGTTTGTTGAGCGGGTTGGTGTTGTTGATGTTGGTGCCAAGATTCCTGTAGCGATTCATTTGGGCTCTCGTCGTCATCATCCTCTACTTCCTTCACTTTCCCGAGCATTGAACCATCGTTGGCCATTTCACTCAACATACTAGGGCGAGAAGGTCGATGGCTAAGAACAGGGTGACGAGCACGCCCCAAGATAGCCGAGGAGCTCATAGCAGGTGGAGCGGCTGTTGACTCGGGATCAAGCTGTCCAACTGAATACGACTGGGATCGGTAGGTTTTAGGTGTGGGGTGAAGGGGGATCGCGAAAGGGATTTGAGGGTTGGGCCCGGGATCCCGTGATACCGGAGATGTCTGCACGTCGCCGCCAAAGAAGGAGTTGCCTGCAGTTCCTGGAGGCATGGTTGATGTAGGAGATGGCAGAACTTCGCTGAGTCTCGAGGGAGGATCCTTGCGCTCAGCGTTCCAGATTCCAGTTCCCCATGGAAAGGTGGATGACCCTGCTGGCCGGCCCATGACAGACGACGTTGAGTGCGAGCCCCAGGTGCCCGCACCAGCCTCGGCAGATGGAGTGCTAGGATGTGAAGCTGTGGGCGACATTGAGCTGCTAGCAAATGATCCTTTGCGAGGACGGCCTAGGGTTTGCGAGGTTTCGTTCAGCCACGAAGGTCTTCGAACAGGCTTTGGCGGTTGAGAGCTGGATTGTGTAGCTGTGTGCGCGGACTCTTGGCGATGGTCGCCTTCGTCGTCTGAGCTAGCGAGAGCCTCTGAATCTGGTGTGGATGTTC